GATTAAGGTAGCTAGCCAGGTGTGGGATGTGGTGGCTTACACCTGTATCCCAGCTACTCAAGAGGCTGAGGTGGGAGGATTTTTTGAGTCCACAAGTTTGAGAACATCCAGAGCAACATAGCAAGACCCATTGCTTTTTTTTTGGAGATGGAGTTTTGCTCTTATCACCCAGGTTGGAGTGCAGTGGTGTGATCTCAGCTCACTACTATCTCTGCCTCCTGGGTTGAAGCGATTCTGGATGCCTCAGCCTCCTGAGTAGCTGGGACTACAGGTGTGTGTCACCCTGCCCAGCTAATTTTTTTTTTTTTTTTTTTTTTTTTGAGACAGTTTCACTCTTGTTACCCAGGTTGGAGTGAAATGGCGCGATCTTGGCTCACCGCAACCTCCGCCTCCTGGGTTCAGGCAATTCTCCTACCTCAGCCTCCTGGGTAGCTGGGATTACAGGCACGTGCCACCATGCACAGCTAATGTTTTGTATTTTTAGTAGAGACGGGGTTTCACCATGTTGACCAGGATCTCTTGACCTTGTGATCCACCCACCTCGGCCTCCCAAAGTGCTGGGATTACAGGCTTGAGCCACCACGCCCGGCTAATTTTTTTTTTAAGACGAAGTTTCACCACATTGACCAGGCTGGTCTCAAATTCCTGACCTCAGGTGATCCACCCACCTCGGCCTCCCAAAGTGCTGGGATTACAGGCGTGAACCATTGCACCTGGCCTAATTTTTTGTATTTTTAAGTAGAGACGGGCATTTCACTGTGTTAGCCAGGATGGTCTTGAACTCCTGACCTTGTGATCCACTCACCTTGGCCTCCCAAAGTGCTGGGATTACAGGCGTGAGCCATAGCGCCCAGTGCTCACGTTTCTTTTCTTTTCTATTTTTTTGAGATGGAGTTTTGCTCTTGTGGCCCAGGCTGTAGGGCAATGGGGCAATTTCAGCTAACTGCAACCTCCGCTTCCCGGATCAACGGATTCTCCAGCTTCAGCCTCCCTAGTAGCTGGGATTACAGGCATGCTCCACCTTGCCTGGCTAATTTTGTATTTTTAGTAGAGACAGGATTTCTCTATGTTGGTCAGTCTGGTCTCAAACTCCTGAAGACAGGTGATCCGCCCGCCTTGGCCTCCCAAAATTCTGGGATTATAGGTGTGATCCACTGCGCCCAGCCCTCATGTTTCTTTTAACCTTTTAAAATGTGGCTGCTAAAAATCTTTATTTTATTTTATTTTTATTTTTTTTGAGGCAGAGTCTCACTCTCTCGCCAGGCGCCAGGCTGGAGTGCAGTGGCACAATCTCGGCTCACTGCAACCTCCGCCTCCCAGATTCAAGCAATTCTCCCGCCTCAGCCTCCTGAGTAGCTGAGACTACAGGCACGCGCCACCATGCCCAGCTAATTTTTGTATTTTTTTTTTAGTAGAGACGGGGTTTCACCATGTTGGCCAGGATGGTCTCGATCTCTTGACCTCATGATCTGCCCGCCTTGGCCTCCCAAAGTGCTGGGATTACAGGCGTGAGCCACTGCGCCCGGCCAGCTGCTAAAAATCTTAAGATTATATTTGGTTTACATATTCTACCGAATAGTGCTGGTCCAGAATAAATAATGATAGCTAACACCTCTTGAGTGCTTACTACTCCAGGGACTTTTTTTTTTTTTTTGACAGCCTCACTGTTGCCCAGTCTGGAGTGTTGTGGTGTGTGATACAGGCTCACTCCAACCTCCACCTCCCGGGTTCAAGCGATTCTCCTGCATCAGCCTCCCGAGTAGCTGAGGTTACATATGCGCACCACTGCACCTGGTTAATTTTTGTATTTTTTTTCTTTTTTTTTTCTAATTTTTGTATTTTTAGTACAGACAGGGTTTCGCTATGTTGGCCAGACTGGTCTTGAACTCTTGGCCTCAAGTGATTCACCTCCCTTGGCCTCCCAAAGTGCTGGGATTACAGGTGTGACTACCGTGCCAGGTTCTAGACACTCCTGTAAGTATGACAGTTACTAATTCATTTAATCATACAACAATCTTATATGGTTTCTAATTCCCATTTTACAGATGAGGAAACACACACAGAAGTTTAGTAACTTATCTAATGTCAGCAAGCCAATATTTAGCAAGTGAGCATTAATTCAGGTAGCCATGTGTTGTGGCCACATACTCAAACTCTAGAGTGTGCTATTACCAGCCTCAGCTCTGCTATTTTGAAGCTGTGTAGCCTTAGGGAAGTTAAGCCTCCATTGCCTCATTTATAAAAATGAGATAATAGTCACTAGCCTCAGGCCGAGTGCAGTGGCTCAAGCCTGTAATCCCAGCACTTTGGGAGGCCGAGGCGGGCGGATCACGAGGTCAAAAGATCGAGACCATCCTGGTCAACATGGTGAAACGCCATCTCTACTAAATATACAAAAAATTAGCTGGACATGGTGGCGCGTGCCTGTAATCCCAGCTACTCAGGAGGCTGAGGCAGGAGAATTGCCTGAACCCAGGAGGCGGAGGTTGCGGTGAGCCAAGATCACGCCATTGCACCCCAGCCTGGGTAACAAGAGCGAAACTCCATCTCAAAAAAAAATAGTCACTAGCCTCTCTCATAGAGTCACTAACAGAATGATGTAGAAGTAGCATATTAAGGTAGTTAAAATGGACTCTGGACTGAGCAGGGTTGCTCACGATGATAATCCCAGCACTTTGGGAGCCCAAGGCAGGCAGATAACTTGAGCCCAGGAGTTCGAGACCAGCCTGGGCAACATGGCAAAAACCCATCTCTACCAAAAAATTAAAAAAATTGGCCAGGTGCAGTGGCCTGTACCTGTGGTCCCAGCTACTGGGGATGCTGAGATATTAGGATTGCTTGAGCCTGGGAGACGGAGGTTGCAATAAGCTGAGATCTCACCACAGCACTGCAGCCTGGGTGACAGAGTGACACTGTCTCATAAAAAGGAAAAAAGACTGGACCCAGATTTCTCGTGTGCAAATCTGGGCACTGCTGCTTATAAGTTATATGAGCTTGTGGAAGATATTTGATTCCGTGCCTCCGTTTCTTCAACTGTAAAATGGAGATAATAGTACCTATCTCATGAGAGTTGTGTGGATCAAATGTGTTACATGTGTAAAGTGCTTAGATTGGTGCCTAGTACTTAGCAAGCACTTACAGTAGAGTTTACTATTAATAGCTTAGTGACAGCCAGGCGTGGTGGCTCACACTTCTAATCCCAGCACTCTGGGAGGCCAAGGCGGGTGGATCACAAGGTCAAGAGATTGAAACCATCCTGGCCAACATGGTGAAACTCCATCTCTACTTGAAAATACAAAAATTAGCCAGGTGTGGTGGTATGCACTTGTAATCCCAGCTACTCAGGAGGCTGAGGCTGAAGAATTGCTTGAACCCCGGACGCAGAGGTTGCAGTGAGCTGAGATTGTACCACTGCACTCCAGCCTGGCAATAGAGCGAGACTCCATCTAAAAAAAAAAAAAAAGTTCATGCTGGGTGCAGTGGCTCACGCCTACAATCCCAACACTTTGGGAGGCCGAGGCAGGTGGATCACCAGCGGTCAGGAGTTCGAGACCAGCCTGACCAACATGGTGAGACTCCATCTGTACTAAAAATACAAAAATAAGCTGGGCGTGGTGGCTAACGCCTGTAATCCCAGCTACTCGTGAGGCTGAGGCAGGAGAACTGCTTGAATCTCGGAGGTGGAGGCTGCAGTGAGCCAAGATCACCTCACTGTACTCCAGCCTGGGCAACAAGAGCGAAACTCCATTTAAAAAAAAAAAAGAGACAGTTCAGCAAGGTTACTGGGTACAAAGTTAATACACAAAAAGGCATAACAGCATATATACCAATAATCAATAAGAAAATAAGATAGAAAAGAAAAACCATACAAAAATGAGATACTACAACACAGTTACTAATTAGAATGGCCAAAAGCCAGAACACTAACACCACCAAGTGCTGACAAGAACATGAAACAACAGGAGCTCACATGTATTGCTGGTGGGAATTCGAAACATATAGCAACTTTGGAAGACAGTTCAGCAGCTTCTTACGAAACTAAACATACTCCCATATTATCCAACAATTGGTCTCCTTGGTGTTTACTCAGAGAAGCCTAAGGTGGAGTACAATGGTGCGATCTTGGCTCACTGCAACCTCCAGCACCTGGGCTCAAGCCATTCTCCCATCTCAGCCTCCTGAGCAGCTGGGACTACAGGCGCACGCTCCCACGCCCAGCTAATTTTTGTATTTTTGGTACAGACAGGTTTTGCTGTTTTGCCCAGGCTAGTCTCGAATCCCTGAGCTCAACTGACCCGCCCATCTCGGCCTCCCAAAGTGCTGAGATTACAGGCCTGCACCACCGCGGCCGGACCAATGTATCTTTTTTTTTTTTTTTTTTTTTTTTTTTGAGACGGAGTTTTGCTCTTGTTACCCAGGCTGGAGTGCAATGGCGCGATCTCGGCTCACCGCAACCTCCGCCTCCTGGGTTCAGGCAATTCTCCTGCCTCAGCCTCCTGAGTAGCTGGGATTACAGGCACGCACCACCATGCCCAGCTAATTTTTAGTATTTTTAGTAGAGACGGGGTTTCACCATGTTGACCAGGATGGTCTCGATCTTTTGACCTCGTGATCCACCCGCCTCGGCCTCCCAAAGTGCTGGGATTACAGGCTTGAGCCACCGCGCCCGGCCTCAATGTATCTTATTTAACCAAATATACCCCAACTGTCATCAATTTTGTTATAATTATCACACTTGTAACCATTAAAGTATTTTTTCTTTTTTTTGGTACTAAGTTTGGAAATCTGGTGTATATTCTACACTTATAGCACATCTCAACTTCGGCCAGCCACGTTTCAGAGGTCACCAGCCACATGTGGCTCGCGGAAGCAGAGCCCTGTAGAGGACACAGTCGCATCCTCCCGGCCCACTAAGGGTTCCTTCTAGAGCCCAGGGGCCCGCGACCTAGGCCCCGCCCCGCGCCCCTCCCAGGTGACATCACAGAGCCCACAGGCCCCGCCGGCCGCGTGCGCGCCGACTCTCGCACTTTCTCCGCTTTAGGCGCCCAGGCTCTAAGACAGAGCGACAGCCATCAACAGCGGAGGCAGAAGGCCGGCCTGCAGTCCGCTTCGACATTCTCAGGTTCGAGGCGGGAGCATGTAGCCCCCACGCGAACCTCGCCCCTTAACGGCCCGCCGCTCGCGCAGCTCTGCAGAGAGAGCGTGGCGGTAGGGTTAGCACCCATTGGTCCGTCGCAGCCCTCCGCCCGCCCACTCGCCACGCTTATTGGCCGGAGTGGCGGCGCCCGCTGGGTAGGCGGTGGCGGCGTCCCTCCCTCGCGCCTGCCCTCAAGAGGGCGACGAGGAAGCGGCCACCTCCCTGCGCCCCGCCCCTTCGGCTGGCTTGCTGGCTCCCGGCTCCTCCTGACGTACCCCAGCTCCTCACAGGTCTTCCCGGCGCTCTCCTAGCTCCCTCCTGCTCCGGCTCCGGCTCGGCGGCAGCGGGTAGGTGCAGCCGCAGGCCGGCTCCGATCGGCAGGGCGGCCTCCTCACTGTCCTGGGGCCGCCCGAGCCTCGTCCCGCGGCAGCCCGGGCCCCTACGGGGCCGCCCGAGGCGTGGAAGGGCGGTGGCCGCCTGCCTGCTAGACGCGGGGGCGTCCGAGGGAGGGGGCTGGCGGGCGTGACCTTCGGAGTCTTTGAGGCGTGATCTAGGGGAGGGGATCCTTGGAGTGAGGCCGCGTCGAGAGGTCCAGCTTTGGGGGCCGGGGTGGTGGTGCCGAGCGACATGCCTTGGGCTTTGGATGGGGCTGAGCCGGAGGTCGAGGGTCGGCGGCAGTCTGAGGCCCTGGGTGGGGTGTGGGAGTGTAGGAGAACTCCGGTCGTTTTCTGAGGCTTTCTGGGGGCCAGTTGACGTGAGGCTGAGGTGAGCCTTAGGGCGTACAGTCAGGAGTTATGGGTGGGGCTGAGGGGTGGTCTGGAGAATCGGGCCCCAGGCGGGGCTCTTCCTGCATGCAAAGGTCCCGGCACTGTGTGGGGGACTAAAGCGTGTGTCTGGCAGTGGGAGTGCGAAGGGGTTGCGTTAGGGTGGGGGTGGGAGGTTACAGGGACTAGGAGGGGCAGTTGGAAACATTATCCAGAACAGAGATTGTGATTTAGCACATGGAACAAGTTTTCCATCGGTGTGAAATCCCTTTGGTGAAGTTGTCCTGTGGAGGAGTTTTGAGAGTTTTGCTTACTTCCAGGAACACCAATTAAATGCATTTGCTGCTTTGGAGAGGAGGCAGTGATTGATTACCTGTAGGTTTGTGCTTTAGGGCCCAAACTCGAATGAAATATGTGCTCCTTGGGAAGGTTAGTGTTGCTTTCTGCTGGAAACCCCCTTTTCTCCTTTGCCTTCTCTGGTCCTGTTACAGTATTGCTCCCCAGGTCCTCTCGATTCTCTCTCCCTGGCAGCATAGCAGCATAGAGCATTGCAGTGTTTCTTGGTGTGTGTGTGTGTGTGTGTGTGTGTGTGTGTGTTCGCGCGTGCGTGGACGCGCGCGCACACGCACTTACCCGCCCATTTCCCTGCTGCTGTGCTTTTGGCAACTGCCTCTGCTCTTTCCCAGGGATGGTTGTGGCATTGCATCAGGGGATATTTGTGTTTGCAATTTGCTCACTCAGCCTAGGAGGAGGGAGAATAGTATGCTGCAGAGATGGAGGGGGGCGGGGTGCGTCAGCTTGGCTGGGTAGACAGAGAAATGGGTGTGGTGAGGGAATACAGCTGCTCTAGGCCTGTAGGGTAACACTGCCCAGTCATCAGCGCAAAGAGATTCAAAGAGCACCAGCAGCAGCTATTTTTATAAGTCAATCCTGAATCCAAGCTGAGCACATGGATTTAGAGTGAACAGTTGTCATGCTCTATTACAGGCTGGGTGTTTGGTAGACAATATCAGAGTTGCTAAGCAGGAGACTCCCGTCTGTACTGTGTAGTGTGTACTTTACTTGCAACTTTTAAACTTTGCTTTTCTCAACTGTATAGATTGGGGCATCTCTCTTCAGGCTGGTGTCTTTTAAATTGACGTGGCTTGATCATCTGTACTACTACCTCTTTTCAAATGAAATGTTTTCACCTCAGTTATACTCTTCATTTCAAATTTAGCTGTAGAATAATAAAGCTGTCACTTTTTTAGAACTTACCATCTCCCAGGCACTAGCTGTATTTACAGATGAGGAAATTGAGACTGATGGGAATAAGAGGTCACACAGATAGTTAAGTGGCTAAAGTGGTATCCAAACCAAGGTCTCTCCAACCCCCACATAGTAGTTCAGAAACTTCAGAATTGTGGTTCACATTGGGATGATTCAAGTGCTTGAGAATTTATTAATGCAAAGTAAACAAACTCACCAGAGACTGACAAACCAGATACCAGTTAATGTATGTTGGATGCATTAAATGCCATGTGCACTTAATACTTTAATTATCCACTGACCGGGACACCTCCATTGTTCTGGGCTGCCTAATCAGTAGTAAAAAGGTAGTTGATTATAGAATTGGAAAGGCACTAGATATTCCTTTTTTTTTTTTTTTTGATATTCCTTTTTTTTTTTGGAGGTGGAGTTTCGCTCTTTTTATCCAGGCTGGAGTGCAATGGCTTGATCTCGGCTCACCGCAACCTCTGCCTCCTGTGTTCAGGCAATTCTCCTGCCTCAGCCTCCTGAGTAGCTGGGATTACAGGCATGTGCCACCATGCCCACCTAATTTTTTGTATTTTTAGTAGAGATGGGGTTTCACCATGTTGACCAGGATGGTCTCGATCTCTTGACCTTGTGATCCACCTGCCTCGGCTTCCCAAAGTACTGGGATTACAGGCATGAGCCACCACGCCCAGCCCGGCACTAGATATTCTTAGGGGGTATTTAAAAAATTTTTTAGCCGGGCGCGGTGGCTCGAGCCTGTAATCCCAGCACTTTGGGAGGCCGAGGCGGGTGGATCACGAGGTCAAGAGATCGAGACCATCCTGGTCAATATGGTGAAACCCCGTCTCTACTAAAAATACAAAAAAGCAGCTGGGCATGGTGGCACATGCCTGTAATCCGAGCTACTCAGGAGGCTGAGGCAGGAGAATTGCCTGAACCCAGGAGGCGGAGGTTGCGGTGAGCCGAGATCGTGCCATTGCACTCCAGCCTGGGTAACAAGAGCAAAATTCCGTCTCAAAAAAAATAAATAAATAAATAAATAAATAAAAAATAAAAAAATTTTTAAATTTTAATGTAATTTAATTTATTTATTTTAAGAGACAGGGTTTCACCATATTGGTCAGGCTGATCTTGAACTCCTGACCTCAAGTGATCCACCCTCCTCGGCCTCCCAAAGTGCTGGGATTACAGGCGTGAGCCACTGCGCCCATCCTTATTTATTTATTTTTGAGACAGAGTCTTGCTCTGTTGTCCAGGCTAGGGTGAAGTGGCAGGATCTCAGCTCACTGCAGCCTCTGCCTCCTGGGTTCAAGCAGTTCTGCCTCACCCTCCTGAGTAGTTGGGATTACAGGCATGTGCCACCACACTCAGCTAATTTTTTTTTTTTTTTTTTTTTTTTTTTTGAGACAGAGTTTCGCTCTTGTTGCCCAGTCTGGAGTGCAATGGCGCGATTTCGGCTCACCGCAACCTCCGCCTCTTGGGTTCAGGCAATTCTCCTGCCTCAGCCTCCTGAGTAGCTGGGATTACAGGCACGTGCCACCATGCCCAGCTAATTTTTTGCACTTTTTAGTAGAGACGGGGTTTCACCATGTTGACCAGGATGGTCTCGATCTCTTGACCTCGTGATCCACCCGCCTCAGCCTCCCAAAGTGCTGGGATTACAGGCTTGAGCCACTGCGCCCGGCTTAATTTTTGTATTTTTAGTAAAGACGGGGTTTCACCATGTTGGCCAGGCTGGTCTGGACCTCCTGATCTCAAGTGATATGCCTGCCTTGGCCTCCCAAAGTGCTGGGGTTACAGGTGTGAGCTACCACACCTGGCCATTTATTTTTATTTTATTCTATTTTATTTTTTGAGATGAAGCCTCGCTCTGTCATTTATACTGGAGTGCGGTGACATGATCTCAGCTCACTATCAATGTCCACCTCCCGGTTCAAGCGATTCTCCTGCCTCAGCCCCTGAATAGCTGGGATTACAGGTGCCCACCACCATACCCTGATAATTTTTGTATTTTTAGCAGAGTCTGAGTTTCTGTGTTGGCCAGGCTGGTCTTGAACACCTGACCTCAAATGATCCACCCACCTCTGCCTCTCAAAGTGCTGGGATTACAGGAACCAGCCATCTTGCCTGGCCTTAGGGGATATTTTAATCAAGTAGCAAAAGTCTAGTGAATTTCCCTTTTCCACAGTCTAAAAACACACATACAGTGCTGGGGGGTGTCTTAACACATTTTCCTACTCTGTGTTACTTGTTTTTTAAGTTGTCTCTTCATGTATTTGTCATTCTAGCATCTCTTTGTTAAAATTCTCAAATATACAAATATATTTGTATTACATATTAACAAGTAATTTTCCATTGTTCCTTGGCAGTGAAGGAAGCACCTGGATTTTTTTTAATGTATAGGTGGCTTAGCTTTAGTCAGAGAGTTGGTTCTTCCTGATCTCATATTATCTTGTTATTTTCCTAATCTTGTTTCTGAATTTGGTGATCCATCTTTTGGCTCTGTACACTTTTGCTCTTGGCAGTTAAAATTTTTGGAATCACTTTTTTTTTTTTAATTAATGATTTTTTTTTTTTTTTTGAGACGGAGTTTCGCTCTTGTTACCCAGGCTGGAGTGCAATGGCACGATCTCGGCTCACCGCAACCTCCGCTTCCTGGATTCAAGCAATTCTCCTGCCTCAGCCTCCTGAGTAGCTGGGATTACAGGCACATGCCACCATGCCCAGCTAATTTTTTTTATTTTTAGTAGAGACGGGGTTTCACCATGTTGACCAGGATGGTCTCGATCTCTTGACCTCGTGATCCACCCGCCTCAGCCTCCCAAAGTGCTGGGATTACAGGCTTGAGCCACCGCGCCCGGCAGGTTTTAGATATTCTTAAGATGTGAGAAAATCTGAGAGGAACATTTTGACCCAGTGGAAGGCATCTTGGCAATTCATTTATTTAGTCACTTTGAAAAGGAAACCAAGTAAATATCACTGATTTCACTTTGTCTTTCTAAACAGCCAAGAACCAGGTTATTGTAGACTTAGTGTTAGGAGTGAGTGAGTTGAGGAGAATTAAGGTGGTTTTTTTTTTTTTTTGAGACAGAGTTATGCTCTGTTGTTAAGTCTGGAGTGCAGTGCCACCATCTTGGCTCACTACAGCCTCCGCCTCATAGGTTCAAGTGATTCTCCTGCCTCAGCCTCCCGAGTAGCTGGGACTACAGGTGTGTGCCACCACGCCCAGCTAATTTTTTGTATTTTTAGTAGAGACAAAGTTTCACCATGTTAGCCAGGATGGTCTCGATCTCCAGGCCTCATGATTTGCTCACCTTGGCCTCCCA